GAGGACCCAGGGCTGTCAGTCAGACAAGGTTGTCTGCAGCACGGGGGCTCCACAAGGAACAGTCCTTGCCCCCTTCCTCTTCACCCTGTACACTGCTGACTTCCAGTACAGCTCTGCCAGCTGTCACCTGCAGAAGTTCTTGGATGACTCTGCTGTCGTCAGCCTCATCAAGGATGGAGATGATGAGGAGTACAGAGAACTGACTCAGAACTTTGTGGAATGGTGCCAGAGGAACTGTCTGCAGATCAACACAGGAAAAACAAAAGAACTCATGGTGGACTTCTGCAGGTCCAAACACTCTCCTTCGGTGCCAGTGAACATTCAGGGAATGGACATTGAGATCATGAGGTCCTTCTAGTACCTGGGTGTTCACCTTAACAACAAGCTGGATTGGACTGACCACACAGCTGCCCTCTACAAGGAAGGACTGAGCAGATTACATCTCCTGAGGAGACTCAGGTCCTTCGGTGTGCGGAAGGCTCTTCTCAGGACCTTCTTTGATGCTGTGGTGGCATCAGCCATCTTTTACGGAGTGGTCTGTTGGGGCAGCAGCATCTCCACTGCTGACAGGAAGAGACTGAACAACATCCTCAGGAAATCCAGCTCTGTCCTGGGGTGTCATGTTGACCCAGTGACATCCCACCATTTATTTGACCTATTCAAATAAATGGTGGTGGCAGACAGAAGAATGAGGACTAAGCTTCAGCACATACCCTCCCACCCCATGCACTCTCTGACAGCACTGAGCAGCTCCTTTAGTGCCCAGCTGCGGCACCCTAAGTGCGTGAAGGAAAGATACTGCAGGTCTTTCCTTCCGGCCGCCGTCAGACTGTCCAACACCCACTGCTCTCAGTAGTTCACTACTCTCTACTACAAGCAATAAACCTGTTCGCTTTACTTACTTATCACTGGTATAGTGCTCAACTGTGTGCAATATCAAATTTCACCATGTATAACATAACTTGCCTATCTGTCACCATGTGCAATATGACGTACATTACTATTTCATTTATTATTTATTTACTTTAATCTATGTGTAACATCACCTATCACATAGATAGATAGATAGATAGATAGATAGATAGATAGATAGATAGATAGATAGATAGATAGATAGATAGATAGATAGATAGATATTTTTTCCTGCTTCCTGCTTCGGATCTTTTCACTAAAATAAAAAAAGCACTTTTCTATTTTAGTGTATCTTTTCCACATATATAGTTTAATATCTGGTTTGTTTCTTTTTAATATATATATTTTTTTCTCAATTACATCTATATGTTGTACCAGACATTAACCGTAAACGGACCTCATATACAAGTTTTTGTCTGAGCGCTAATTCTGAATTTGTCATGTAAATAATATGAAGAATGAAGTCGGAGGTTTGTCCCGTCTCCGCTATGAACAAAATTGCAAAACTCAACACTGCCACCTTTTGGTCATGTAATCA